CCCCTTATATTTGAAATGTGCACTGTAGAGAACTGGGCTTCATCTAGATCATAAATTTGAAGAGATGAAAACACACTGTTACTTCAATCAGAAGGATCAGAGGCACCCAAACCCACAACGAAAAATGTATGGCACTTTTATTGATAAATATCATTGTGTTTATAAAAGAGACATTAACCAAAACAAAGAGACACCCCACTGATGCGCAAAGAAAAAATCTTTGCACTCCATATAACTGACAAGGGACTGATCACAAAGATATACAAAGAACTCGCACAACTCAACAAAAACAAAGTAAAACTCCAGACAAGAAATAGGCAGAAGAACTTAAAAGACACTTCTCCTGGAAATGCAAATGGCCAACAGGCATATGAAAAAATGTTCAACATCCCTTATCATCAGGGAAATGCAAATCAAAACCACAATGAGATACCACCTTACACCAGTAAGAATGGCACATATCAAAAAAACAAGCAACAACAAATGTTGGCGAGGATGTGGAGAAAAAGGAACTCTCCTACATTGCTGGTGGGAGTGAAAACTGGTCCAACCACTGTGGAGAGCTGTATAGAGGTTCCTCAATCTGTTAAAAATGGAGCTACCATATGACCTGGCAATTTCACTCATAGGGATCTACCCAAAGGATACAAAACCATTGATTCAAAAGAGCACCTGTACCCCTATGTATATTGCAGCACTATTTACAATAGGTAAAACCTGCAAACAACCCAAATGTCCAAAAATGGATAACTGGGGCCTCCCCTGGTGGTGCAGCGGTTGAGCGCTGGGCTGCGGAGCTGCCCACAACCTCTGCAGTGCCAGCTCTGATTCCCAGCCACTGGCAAGGGTCCCACACGGCACGACAGACCTCTCCTGCCGTCCACTGCTCCCCTCAGCAGTGTATTTCGTCAGTCTGTCTGTTTTGCTCCCTGCTCTGGCTCTGGTGAATTTTCTCACCCTCCTGTGCTTCTGACTGTACCCAGTGCTTGTATAAATAAATAAATAAATCTTTTTAAAAAAAAAGTTAAAAAAAATAGATGACTGATCAAGAAGATGTGCTATATATACACAATGGAATACTATTCAGCAATCAAAAAAAGATAAATTAATGCCATTTGCAGCAACATGGATGAACTAGAAGGAATTATGCTCAGTGATATAAGTCAGAAGGAAAAAGAAAAATATAGGATGGTTTCACTTATCGGAGGAATATAGGGGAATGAAGTAAGACATCAGGGGAAAAAAATTAATAACAATACAAAACACAAAAAAAAAACAAACAAAAACAAGAAGACAATTATAAACCAGATACATCCTGCACAGGAGGGGGAAGGAACACGGGGAGCGAGGAGTACAGGGGACTGAGGTGATGGTGCACAGGTGAATTGGTGGAGGAAATTCTATAAGGATTACACCTGAGTGGTGGGGGGAAGCAAATATTGTTTAAAAATGAACAATGATGTAAAATATACATAAATAAGTAATTTTTTGAAATAGCAATGTCTTTAAATACATGTAAATAATACTGGAGATGCACAAGCACTTTCTCCTTATTTTAGCCCAGAGAAGCAGAACTCAAGGAGGTTCTGTCAGAGAGTGACTGGTTCAGGATTATTGAGTTGGTGATGTAGCTGCTTTGGTGAATGTTTCATGCTCCGCACAGCAGCTCCACATCCCAGGTTCCTGCAAAGCAGCTCATCTTCCTTCAGGCCCAGTGTAAAGTATATGTCTGGTCCTCTCCCCTTGGTACTACGCCCGTACTCTTGTCTCATAAGGGTGACCCCACTTTCCAATGCAGCCAATGTGAAAGAGAGACATCACCTGAGTCATAGGTGGGATCTCAGGTCTAACCTGAGGAATCTGTTCTCTGCATCCAAACCTGAGTTGGGAGAGCCACAGTTTTGCACACCTCACCTTCAGCTTAGCGTTATTTTGGTCAGAGGACATTCCCCTCTCACTATTAGGCCTTAGGATTTGGTTTTCTCTAGAGAAGCGAGGGAGCAAGGGTGACCTGATTGGTTGTCACCACCTTTCTTTCCTTATTCCTTCCCCTCTGACCAAGATGTCTCCTCTGTCCTCCCTGCAGCTGTGACTCATCTGCTTCAAAACCAACTCTCAAGGCCTCTGACCAGCAGCCGCGCCTGCCTCTGATCCTTCTGGGTCTTCATCTACGTCTCCAAGCTCTGACTGTTCTGTTGGAACGGAGCACTGGGTGCCTGAGATGTGGGAAATGTTTCCACAAGATGTGGCATTTGGCCACCAGGGAGCCACAAAGACGAGGTATCTTCTTTGAACACAAAACTCATCCTCCACCTTGGGACAATGCGCTGCTCTGCACCTTGAAAGCCAGAGGTGGTCATGGTGACCTTCCCCTCAAAGGCAAAAGGGCACGGAGAGTGGGTCATGGGGAGTCCAGAAATGGGCCAAGATTCAGCCTTTAATTGGGAAATGATGAAATGGAGACAGGGCAGCTTCAGAGGAGGCATCTCCAAACTCAGCACAGGTTTGCTACCTGGGTAGAGAGAGGCCATATTGAGATGCCCCTTCATATTGTTTGATTCAAAATACAATTGTCATTTCAGAGCTTGCCAATTTCCACGAACTGTTCTAAGTGCTGGGAATGTGAATTATAATAAATCAAGTTCTTTTCTCTTCAGGAGGTTACATGTAGAAGAGGAAAAATAACCAGTACACAGATTTAAGACTTTTGAAAAGATTAGGAGATGCCTCGACAGCAAAATGCAAGGAGGGTGCTTCAGAAGGCCATTTTTTATATGAATCAACCCCACCTCAGGCAAAATGAAAGTTGTGGTCAGATACATCCTTGTCTGTCTTCATGCTGTAAAGAAACCCATGTCCTCAGGCACAGATGGCATCTCCACACACCCCTGCATCCTCATGCTGCTCAGGGAACCCCTTATGTGTCTTCTCAGCTCCCCAGCATTCCCCTCCCTCCTAGCTACATTAAATTGCTTCCTACTCCTTTTTATAAAATTTTTTTTATTTTTTATATATTTCTTACATCTTTTTTCATTTTTGCACAATGTATGCATTTTCATCTTGGTTATATTCCCCATATAATTGCACCCCACTTATTTTGACCCCATTGCCTCCTCTCCCCTCATCCCTGTAGTGTGTCTCTGGTTTATAGCTCCCTGTTGATTTTGATTTTTGTTTATTATAGTTATTCTTTTTCCTGGTCTCTTATTTAGGTTTCTAAATTCCTGCTATGAGTGAGACCATCCAGTATTTTTCTTTTTCTTCTGACTTATTCACTGAGCATGATCCCTTCCAGCTCCATCCATGTTGCTGCAAAATTGCATGTGTTTATTTTTTTGAATGCTGAGAATATTCCATTGTGTATATGTACCGCATCTTCTTGATCCAGTCATCTATTTTTGGGCATTTGGGTTGTTTCCATAGCTTAGCTATTGTAAATAGTGCTGCTATAAACATAGGCATGCAGGTGCCCTATGGAATTAATGTTTGTGTCCTTTGGGTAAATACCTAGGAGTGGAATTGCTGGATCATAAGGAAGCTCTATCTTTAGTTAGTTGAGGAATCTCCACACAGCTCTCCATAATGGCTGGACCAGTTTGCACTCCCACCAGCAGTGCAGGAGAGTTCCTTTTTCTCCACACTCTCATCAACATTTGTTGTTGCTAATTTTTTTTAATATGTGCAATTCTCACTGATGTGAGATGGTATCTATAGTAGTTTTGATTTGCATTTCCCTGATTACAAGTGATGTTGAACATTTTTTCATATGCCTGTTAGCCATTTGCATTTCCTCTTTGGAGAAGTTTCTTTTTAGTTCTTTTGCCCATTTTTTGACTGGATTATTTTCTTTGTTTTTGTTGAGTCTTATCAGCTCTTTATAGATTTTTGTGATTAGTCCTTTATCGTTAGTGTGTGTGCAAAAATGTTCTCCCAGTCGGTGGGGTTTCTCCTCGTTTGATTATTGTCTCTTTTGCTGTGCAGAAGCTCTTTAATTTGATGTAGTCCCAGCTGTTTATCTTTGCCTTCACTATCACTGCTTTGGGTGATGTGTCTGTAAAGATGTCTTTGAGGTGCATGTCATGTAGTGTTTGCTTCCTACTCCTTAAAAAATTTGTTTGTCCCCTCAATCCATTCTTCTCAAATACCCAAATGCAATTTATTTTGGGGCAATGGTATAAAATAAATCTATGTAATTTCTTTCCAAAAAACACACAGACTAACATTTTATTTCCATCACTATTGACTTGTCAGTGCATGGCTAATGGCTACTTAACCTCCAAATTTGAGTTTACACAAGTGTCTTGAAAGAAAATAGAGTATATTTTCCAGTAGCAATGAGTGAGAATCTATGACCCCCAAGTTTTTCATCCACAGCTTTTTGGTTTTACTGGCAAAAGAACTATGAATATTTATGCTTAAGTTTATAAAGGAGACATGAAATTTGGCACATCCATACAATTCTCTGATTTGTTCAGTGATAACCCCTGGATCTCTAGAGCTCTTACTAACCCAGTAAAAACCAGATCTCGCACTATCCATATAGAAACTATTAACCAGGGAAAGTGCATCCTCATTCTGTTCCTCCCAATAATAGTCTCACTGTACAAAAGGAGTTAGTGTGGAGATTTACATAAGTTTACTCTTGCAAAAAGTAAATTTTGAAAGAATCATGAGTAGGTTTTAATCAGGATGATAATAGATTAAGTTCTTTTGTCAGGTAAGACCAATGCAGAACGAAGGATGAGCAGTTTCTTCAGAAGTAAAGGACGCTCATCATTCACAGAAGCTTTGTGCCCTCGGGAATATGGAGAGAAGGAATATGTCTCAGACCTCTCTGACCCATCTTTCTCTGCTGTCGCAACAGACACCAGCCTCCTAGGAACTTTCCATTCCCTCAGCCCCTGAAAATGCACTGACCATACCTGAGCAGATGACTCCTGCATCCTCGGTATGTTCGCAGATGTGTTCCCCCCAGCCCTGGGACTGGCACTTCCACACATGGGACTCCGTTCCTGTGCACTGCAGATCACTCAGCCAGATGGGTCCTGATCCCTCCCCGAAGTGAGCAAAGACTGTGGCCTCCAGCGCCTCTCCGCAGTCCAGCTGTCTGCACACCACGTGGGCATCAGGCAGGTCCCAGTAATCATCACAGATGGTGCCCCAGGATCCCTGGTGAAGGATCTCCACTCTGCCAGCGCAGTGATGGCCTCCGTCCACCAGGCGGAGCTGCGGGCTGTCTGCGGAGAGAGTCAGGTCAAGGTGGGGGGCGACATGTAACCCGGAAGAGGAAGGCTGCCCTGGTCCTGGGGGCCCTTGGCCTGAGCAAATGGCAGTGCCCCCCTCTGAGGCTGCAGAGCCTGCTGGTGGAGACGCTGTGCTTGCACTCGGCAGCACCTCAATTCCTACAGCAACAAGCAGCACAATAGAGTTGAAAATAGGAAAGAACAGGAGAAAGGGAGCTGAAAACAACTAGTGAGCAGTCGGAGAGAGCAGGTGTGACCAGGTCCCGTCAGAGGAACCCTGATGTAGAGTCTACACGGCATCTGACATGGTGTCCCGAGATGTCAGAATCTCTGCCCTGAGCAATTAAATGAGTGCAGAGTGGCTGTAGAGGCTTACTAGCTGGTGGATTCCTTATAAATTACACCCATTTCCATGCTGTCGAATAAAGGGAACTGTTGGGAGCTTATCAGAATCCTCTGGAGGCAGCCAGGAGACCCGTTCCAGTCAGAGCTGTTCTTGCCATAACTCACAGCTGAAGAATGAAAGGACCATGAGACAGGCCACGATTTACCCAGAATATTTCATTTATGATTCTAAGCTCCAGAATGAACTTCTCTTTGAGTAGACGGGGCCACCTCACTGGAGAGATGATGGAGATGAGACTAACATGGCCAGAGACACTGGGTATCACACATCTGCTTCTTCCCTGAGACAGTATAATCTCTACTTGAACTTCATGTCAGGAATTGCTATTATTCAAAATTTGGAGTTATTCAGAGTATAGGAGAAAATATAATGTATTGCTAACCCCACCACAGAGTAGAATCAGGTTATATTTCTGAGCTGAAAACACTCAAACAGATTTGACTTTTCTGTCATTTTCAGTTGCTGTATTATTATTTTCTCCTTTTTATATACAAAAAAAATTGCACTGAGGAGTTCAATAATGTGTCATTATTGCAATTTAAGTAAGGAGGATGAAATAGAGAATAAAACCTAGAACTTCTAAAAATAAAATAAAAAATAAATAAAATAAAAAATGGGGGAGTTGTAGGTTTTATTCTCCATTCCATGACTGACTTAAAGTAAGCGCTGGCGCTCAAGTGTGATATAGGTATTCTTGAGGGCCATGCCCACAGTGCAGGTTTTGTTGCAAATATTTTCCCAGTGTACATGTTGTTCAGGATAGGAGGCCAAAGAGCTGTGTCAAAATTCTTGGAAAGCAGAGTGGCTATTCCTTTATTCACTTGGTGCAGAGCTACCAAAATATCCAGGCTCTCAGCTGAATTCTGAGATCCCAGAATGCCCTTACCACAGGCACAGAGACAAGCAGAGGTAGACTGATGTCACCCAAACTGCCAGCAAGGGTTATCCCAGCTCAGGTCTGGGTTACAGTTAGATATCTGGGTGCTCAGCAGCCCCTACTCCGCCTGCCTAGCTAAACAGGAGATGATACTTCCAGGTGACAGAAAAGATATCTAGAGCTTCTATTTTATCATACACAATTTTTAATATTAAATATAAAGTGAGATTTGAGCCCATGTAGAAAGATGGGCTCACATGACATAGTGAAAAGGAAAGCAATATAAGAAAAGTTAGAAACACACATAGCATATGAGAGTTTTAACTATGATTCATGAATTTAGTAAAAAAAAGGGGGGGGAAGAAGACAAAAACAGTTAAAATGAAAAGAACTTAACATAGAATTGTAAATATATTAAAGATATCAAAGTAACAGTTGCCAACTGAAGAGGAGGACAGACAGAGACAGAGAACAGTGAAGTTATATTTGAAGAGATAATGGTTGAGAATTTTTAAAAAATGATGAAAGCTGTAGCTCACATTTTCAAGAAGCTCAGAGAATACCAAGGAAGATATGAAAAGCCCAACACCTTGTAAAGCTGATAAAAATTATAGCAAAAGAGGAATATCATTGTTTAATTTTAAAAATAGAAGGCCTAAAAATGGAGAGAAAGGGCATGTAGAGCTGGTGAGCCAATTAAGAGTAAATGGCACACATCCTACCAAAAGCAATATACAGATTCAATGCTATTCCAATCAAAATCTCAATGGCATTCTTCAAAGAAATAGAACAATTATTGATGAAATTCATATGGAATCACCAAAAACCCCGAATAGCCAAAGCTCTACTGAAAAAAAAAAGAAGGAATGGAGGCATCACACTCCCAGACTTCAAACTATACTACAAAGCCATAATCATCAAAACTGCATGGTATTGAACAAAGAACAGACATACAGACCAATGGAATCGAATAGAAAATCCAGAAATAAACCCACAGATTTATGGTCAACTAATCTTTGACAAAGGAGCAAAGACTATGCATTGGAGCAAAGAAAGTTTGTTCAATAAATGGTGCTGGGAAAACTGGGTCACTACATGCAAAAGAATGAAGCTTGACCACTACCTCACACCATACACAAAAATCAACTCAAATGGATTAAAGAACTAGACATAAGACCTGAAACCATAAAATACATAGAAGGAAATATAGGCGAAACACTACGGGATTTGCACATCAAAGACATCTTTACAGACACATCACCCAAAGCAGTGATAGTGAAGACAAAGATAAACAGCTGGGACTACATCAAATTAAAGAGCTTCTGCACAGCAAAAGAGACAATAACAAAAACAAAGAGAAACCCCACCGACTGGGAGAACATTTTTGCACCCAACACTAATGATAAAGGACTGATCACAAAAATCTGCAAAGAGCTGATGAGACTCAGCAACAACAAAGAAAATAATCCAGTCAAAAAATGGGCAGAAGAGCTAAAAAGAAACTTCTCTGAAGAGGAAATGCAAATGGCCAACAGACATATGAAAAAATGTTCAACATCACTTGTCATCAGGGAAATGCAAATCAAAACTACCATGAGATACCATCTCACACCAGTGAGAATGGCACATATTAAAAAACTAGCAACAACAAATGTTGGCGAGGGTGCGGAGAAAAGGAACTCTTCTGCACTGTTGGTGGGAGTGCAAACTGGTCCAACCACTATGGAGAGCTGTGTGGAGATTTCTGGACCTACTAAACATAGAGCTCCATATGATCCAGCAATTCCACTCCTAGGTATTTACCCAAAGGACACAGAAACATCAATTCCAAAGAGCACCTGCATCCCTATGTTTATAGCAGCACTGTTTACAATAGCTAAGCTTTGGAAACAACCCAAATGCCCAAAAATAGATGACTGGATCAAGAAGATGTGGTACATATATACCATGGAATATTACTCAGCATTCAAAAAAGATAAACACATGCAATTTGCAGCAACATGGATGGCGCTGGAAGGGATCATGCTCAGCGAAATAAGCCAAAAAGAAAAAGAAAAATACCAGATGGTCTCACTCATAGCAGGAATCTAGAAAACTTAAATAAGGGACCAGGAAAATGAATATAAGAAAGTGAAAATCAAAATCAACAAAAAACTATGAACCAGAGACACTTTTTGGGTGGGGGCGGGAGGGGAAGGATTGGGGTCAGAATGGGGCGTTTGCTATTGTATGGGGAATATAAAAATAAAATTTATATTAAAAAAAATAATAAAATTAAAAATTAAAAAGAAAAAAAAAGAGTAAATGGCACATATTAAAAATATCAGCATTGTTTAAAGTAAATGGATCAGATACTCAATTAAAAGCAAATCAAGATAAAACAACAAAATTCAAGTAAATGTTACCTGTCTAACATACAAAATAAAATGATGGAAAAATATATATACATTGTAAATATTATTTAAACACACATTGGATGAGTATACTTTAGACCAGATGAAAAGCGGTAGGTGACTGGGAAGATAAATCCAAATATTTCTGTCTCTGTGCTATGAGACAAGCCTCTTTAAAGCAGGGACTTCACATTCAGAAAGGATGACAGGGAGCAGCAGGTCCTGATTGCATGTGCCGAGCTCAGGGAAGACTCAGTGCTCTTTGGCACCTGACACCAGGGCTGCAATTAACAAGGCGATGGAACAACTCGTGTGCACTGATGCCTTAATATGTGAGCCTGTGCTTGAGTCATACGATCTTAAAAGATATTGTCTCTGAGGAGAAATCATGCTTGTCAAGTGAAGAGTGGTTTCTTCTTGATAAAATGTATTCATTGCTCTCAAGCCAGAGAGGACGAATGGAAACAGCACCAACTGTGTATTTCATTTTCAGAATGCACTCTACCCCTAATAACTTGCAAAGTCTGCTGTCCTCACAAAGGGTCATATTGCTAGGAATGGAAGATTCAGGAAATGTAAGAGAGGAGCAGACTCCTATTGAGAAGAGAATTTCCCAAAGAAGAGAGCAAGAGATGGAGACTTCTGAGTGGAGAAAGTTGAAATCAGGAGGAAACAGGGAACTGGGAAGGAGTGGAGAGGGAGGAGCATCTAGAGCAGCCAGGCCCAAGGCCCACACCTGAGAGGCTGGCTGACAAGGATGTGCCAAATCATTGTCACAGCAGGGCCCAACCTTGATATCTTAGACTCTGCTGGACAGGGCCAAGGGGAGAACAGATGTCATGCAGGGCTTGGCAGTACTGCCAGGGAAACTACACCTAAGGACATTCACAAGCACAGGGCTCGTCCTCAACAGCAGACCCTTAGGATGTCACATTCATGATTGAGACCCCACTTGGGCGGTGAACCCTGACCAAGATGGAATATCCTGAACTCATAGGCCACAGCCCTCTGCCTGCAGCGCTCATCTCAGTCCACCCTGGGACACCCACATTTGGAGCCAATTTTCTGCTGCCCTGGGGTTGAGGACCATGGAGCCAACAGGTAGGAAGGGAAACACCACAGCATAGAGACAGAGTCCTGCCAGCACCCAGTGCTGGGGAAATGGCAGTAAAGCAGAAAAACGTTTGAGATGTGGGTTTGTGGGGAAGAAAAAAGCACCTCAAATTTAGACTTTGATTGCAGGTGCAAGGTTATCTGGGGGTGTAATTAAAGTTTCTATTGGGAGGGTTTTCTTTAAAGGCATCCATATCTGCCCTCATCATAGACACCAAAACACATATCACCATCACCACCACTTCCACCACAATCCAGCCATCTGACTAGAGTATGATTCTGTGTAGTCCTTTCTAGAAAGGTACTTCCACAGGCAGGCATGCTCCTGCTCACACATTTATCTTTCACATGCACTTTTAACTTCCCTTTC